GGAATTTCCTAGTCTGTGGGCAATAAAAATGTGGCGTCCACTCACCCTCTGCGCTTTCACTGGGAGCTGCAATCCTGAGCTGTTCTTAAACGGCCATCTTGGATCCTCCTCTACTGCTAACTCTTTGTTTTTCAACTTGTGACATTATATACTTACTTTGTTTTGTGTGAAGTGAGTACTTAACACTGTGCTTCTTTCCATTCAAGTTGTTTCAGTTTTATCAGTGTTTTCAGTTCCTCAATTGGCTATCATTAGAACTTTAAAAATATACTAAACATCCACATTTAGTCATATATTTTCAATCCATGATTGGATTTTTCCAATCATGATTGGAAAATATATTTTGACTCCATATTTTGTAAATTAAGGATGTTAAAAACTGTACCCCTTAATTTTCCTCTCCCCAAACCTTTCTTTTCTTTACTGCTGCTAGCCATTCCTTTACTTTTACAAAAGAACTTGTTAACATTTACATTTTGTACTGTAATTTGAAATAACTCTTCCTTGCTTTGTATGTTTTCTCTAAAACTTAAAAAATTTAAAAAAAGCATTTGTATTATTTTAGTATTTAAGTTTCTTTTTATAAATGTTAACTGCAGAACTAGGTAATATGGTCTGATTACTCTCTTTTCTACAGCTCAAGTGATTTTACTATTAAGATAAAATAATACGTGGAAGGAAAAAAGTTGATCTCATAGAAGTAGAGATAAAATAATGGTTACTAGAGGCTAAAGAGGGGAAGGGGAGGCGGAAATAGCAAAAGGTTGGTTAATGGATGCAAAATTCCAGCTAGATAGGAGGCATAAGTGTTAAGGTTCTATAGCACTGTAGGGTGACTGTAGTCAACAATAACATATATTTTCAAATAGCTACATGAGATGATTTGGAATGTTCCCAACACAAAGAAATGATAAACGTTTAAGGTGATGGATATGTACTAATTACCCTAGTTCAATCATTACACGTGTATACATGTATTGAAATATTACTCTGTACCCCGTAAATATGTAAAATTAACATGTGTCAAAAAAATAAAAAGATCAAATAGATTCTCCTTCCTTATTCCCCATCAGTAGTTTGACATCATGCTAAATTTTAGCTTTTATATTAGGACCATATTGATCTTATAATATTTGTGTCTGTATCCTGAAGTAAGACTTTCTTTTATTTTATTAGGAAAAGAAATGTATGCTTCTTCACCATATTTCTTAGACCTTTCAGCTTCATAATCATTCCATTTATTGCTTGGTATCCAAATCTTTTTTTTCTTTGAGACAGGGACTTGCTCTGTCACCCAGGCTGCAGTGCAGTGGCACGATCTCAGCTCACTGAAACCTCCACCTTCCAGGTTCAGGCTATCGTCCCACCTCAGCCTCCTGAGTAGCTGGGACCACAGGCGCACGCCACCATGCCCAGCTAATTTTTTTTTGCATTTTTATGTAGAAATGGGGTCTTATCTTGTTGCCCAGTCTGGTCTTGAATTCCTGAGTTGAAGATATCTGCCTGCCTTGGCCTCCCAAAGTGCTGGGACCAAACCTTTTTCTTTTTAAAGACATTCTTGCAGTTAATGGCATTAACTTCTCTTCTCTTGTACATTTCTATTTTTTTTATTTCTTCTCTTGTTTTTCTGGAAGTATATCCTCATGTAACCTTTAAATATGTAGTACATAGAAGGTAAACTTTCTGAATCCTTCAGTGTCACATGATGGATAGACAGGCTGGTTATAAAAATTTTTCCACCGGGTGCAATGGCTCACACCTGTAATCCCAGCACTTTGGGAGGCCAAGGCGGGCAGATCACTTGAGGTCACAAGTTCAACATCAGCCTGGCCAACATGGTGAAACGCCATCTGTACTAAAAATACAAAACAATTAGCTGTGCATGGTGGTGTGCACCTGTAATCCAAGCTACTCAGGAGGCTGAGGCAGGAGAATTGCTTGAACCAGGGAGGTGGATGTTGCAGTGAGCCAAGATCACACCACTGCACTCCAGCCTGGGCAACAGAACAAGACTCCATCTAAAAAAATTTTTTTTCCTTCCACTTTTTTCTAATATTTATTATTGCTGATAAGAATTCTAATGCCAGTTTTATTTGCATTTCTTTATGGAAGAAGGGCATAGTTACAGAGTTCTGGGGAGATTTTGAATGTGTATCCTGAAATTTGGAGGCATACGTGATACAGTTACTGGTAACCTGCTTTCTCCATGGAGAATTTTGAAGTCTGTAATGCCCATAATAGTGGGCAAGAAGAGAGGGCAAGAGTGGAGCAGCTTGCCTTTCTTCTGTTTGACATGAGTTTCCTCTGTAACAAGTGAATACTGCTGAAAGTAGCTGGGCTTTATCTCTTTTGAAGATGTTCTGCCCAAGAACGCAGCTAAGCAGGCTGAGGAGATAGCAGAACCAATAGTCTTGGATATATCACTGAAAGTAATAAGAGCTGATGGGGAGAGGAGCATTGCAGAAGAATAGCTGAAGGAAACATCTCTCATGACATAGAACCATGTAGTGCTCAGGTCCCCGTGGTAACTCTAAAGAAACCATACATGTATCTTGTGAAAAGCCCAGCATTTGGGCACCTCCTACACAGAGAGCATTGATGACCAAATAGTGTTGTCAAAGATAGAGCAGCAGGACCTATTAAACAAGACTCTGTTTGCCCTTTCTTCTAATATCTACCCTCCCTCACCCTGAGTTCCTGGAAAAAGGAAGAGAAGGCTGATAAATATTGAAAGAACATACTACAGCATTCCCTTTTCTTTTTCTGTTTTTT